AAAGCCACACAGATATCAGAGAGCTCATACCCACTGTTTCCATCATGCTAGTCATTAGGAAATCAGCTCCGAAGACAAGACTCAGTCGTTGTGAAACGATGGCTGGCATACGTTTTGACATTGCAGACCTTGACACCGAAGATAATGCCAAAAATGAAAGCGGCAGCAGCCAGAACCAACACGGTAGCGTATAACGCAATGCCCTTTTTAAGCCTGAGAATCCTGGAGAAAAACGAATGAGCATTGGGAACTTCAGATGATGAAGCGGCGACTCACCGATATGCCAAAAACACCTGCGTTATGCAAGCCGTGACTGTAGCTACAAATACCCATGCTGGATAAGGCCAAACAGGTCCTAATGTACAGAAAGGATCAAACTCGAGCGCGAACAGGTTCGGTAGAAACGTACTGGTCAAAGCGAAGGGATTGTTATAGCCATCTACACTGGTGAGTGGTGTTTGGCATTCAATATGGCGAGGGGTTAACGATGGATACGCACGCATAGACCCAAGCGAGGTAGATCAATCTAAACAAGGTTATCACTTGACGTTTGCCGTAGATACTCCGCTCAACTCACGAACTGCTGTGGAAAGTGTCGAGGCAGAGTAACGCAAAAACGGTGAGTCTGCCAGCCATATTTATGGTATCAGTCTTGAAGGCGACCGCATCGTTAAACCGGACACCGACCGAATCCATAACGCGTCGTTGAATGCTATTTGTCGAGCGGTCAGAACCTGATCAAGGGGAAACGGCAGCTGGTGACTCACCAATATTGTAATACGATGCATATTGGAATGTAAGTACCCCATAGAGATAGGCGTTGACCTGCGGACCCAAGGAAAAGTCAGCACATATCGCGGCTCCTCAGCGGTAGGAAAAATTCCTCACAAAAGATGCCCAGCAGAAGAGGGCCTATACATGGTTAGGAAATCGCAATATGAGAAGGAAGCATGAATCTCACCAAGAGTTACCTGGAAAATACCCATCGGAGAGGTGACTCGGAGGGGAATGAGTAACTGAAGCGAGAAGAGGTTGTGGGCGGTGGCCAACTTCAGAATTGTCCACGAGGGTCGACCTCAGCGCCATCCCTTACTTAGAAGATGAAGCAACCGAACACGAAAGGGATTATGTTAGATAAGGGCGCCAAGGGTGCGGAAATGAGTTGGGACTCCGACGGTTGTCAGGCCAACGTTGCACCTCGATATGTATGTCAAGGTTCAAGGTTCAAGGTTCAAGGTTCATATTGCTACCGCCGACGACGACGACATCCAGGATTTTCACCGTGATATTTCATTCTAGACGACATGTTTTCGCATCTTCAAGATTTTGTTTCATCCTCTGTTCCGTAATCGGCATTCGGAGTCGGAAGGCATCGGGGCGATCTTCTTACAGCTAACGAGGTATCGATAGACCAGAACTCCAAACGCTCCGCTCAGTGATTTTATTTACTTTTGGAGCTGGCCAAACAACTTCCCACAGCTAATTGGCGGGCATTGCCATCCCACCCCTTCCCGCTGTTGCGTATATAGTCATAAATTCCTGGTTAGGTTGTTTGCACGTACCCTGAGACTCTATAAGTAAACAAAGTCACTAAGCGGAGCGTTATGAATTCTGGTCTATCGATACCTCGTTAGCTGTAATGGGCCTTGCTTATAATCAATCAATTTAATGTTCGTTGCCAACAGTTGCCGGGCGACTTTACATTGAGGCAGGGTCGTGTCAAAAGCCATGCTAATGTCTTTTTGGTTGTAATGCGCTATACACCGACATACGTAGGTGGGAGCGAGAGGTGATCATTTCTTGCTCTCTCCTGGCTTCCACTAGCACCAACGCCACCCACCCCAGAAAACCACAGGAAGGCCTTAGCGGTGAGTCAACCTGCGCACTCTCATGTTGGCGATATCCTTGTGGGGAGGTCGATTCCACATCTTAATCTTCTTCTCTACATGTTTATGGAGAAACAGTACGCTAACGATTTCTTCTTTGATCTCGTCAGCTGCTGTGCTCCGCCGTCGCGACTTTGTCGTGTACCAGGATATCTACCCCACTTCAAGTATACCTTCCTAGTGAAGCCTATCACAGGCGCCCGTACACTTTCGCTCTCTTAAAATTTTAACTAATATAATCGCGGTATGAGTTACTTCGACACTTCATCGCCTGCTGACATCTTATACGTTATGCTGAAGCTCCCCCCTAAGCCTCAATATGGAAGCTACCGACGATGATCCGTTGGCCATCTTTATGCGGCCACCACCAAACGAAACACCAACCGAGAGAGGCGCTCGTGAAGAAAGAGAGGCTCACGCGCGTCANATAAGCGATCAGATTGACAAACAACTCAAGAAAGATAAAGCAGCTCTAAAACGACAGAATGGGTTTGTCCGACTGTTGCTTTTGGGTCAGTCAGAGAGCGGTGAGTTAATTTGCCTCAGCCTTCTGTAGATTTTGCTCATTACACATCGTGTGTTTCGACCCCCCATAGGTAAATCAACGACTATCAAAAGTGCGTTGTGTGCCCGCCGTTCTTGTAATATCCCTCATCACCTCCAATACAGACTTTCGAATGAAATACTCCCATGCTCAGTGGAAAGCTGAACGTTTCTCCTGGCGCGCCGTCATTCAGCTTAACCTCGTCCGCTCCGTCCTCACCATCCTCGACACAATCCAAACAGAAATGAACGGGACCACCTCCACCCCAACACCCTCCATTGTTCAAGCAACTTCCTCTCACGAAGAGGAGCAGGAGGAAGATGACCCAATTCCCTGCGCGACTACAAGTGGCGTCGGCATTCTCGCGAACATAACCCGCCGTTCATCGCTATCCAAGGACTCCAACTCAAGTTTACGAACGACTCTATCAAGTCAACACCAAATTCTCGAACTCCGCTTAGAACCTTTGCGCAGAGTTGAAGCAGATTTGAAGAAACATTTAGGTGCAGGATCGGACGAGGAAGAATTTGACTCCAGCGCATCCCTTGGTGTCGACCCCCTAGGACCCTCACCCTCTAGTTTAGGTGATGGTGACCAAGGCGGCGAAAGACGAAGCGGAAACCCGATGTTTACAGCACGTAAAGTAAAACAATGTGAATTCGGCGTCAAGCGGTTACACGAAGCCCTGGAGAACGGTGTACATACGCCATCATCTCGTGGCAGTCATCATGGCCACGGTACGCGCGACTCGGGGTCGTATACCTCCGATGACGCTACGCATATCATCGCGAGTTGTAGAGATGACATGAAGGCGCTATGGCTGGATGAAGCTGTTCGAAAGGTGTTGGTAAAGAGGAAGGTGAGGATTGAAGACGGGGCCGGATTGTGAGTGCTTTCTTGTTACGTGTCACTTCCCCACCCCCTGCCAGCCTTGCCTTCTTACCTCTGTTTAATTTCCCCTTATTTTACCCCTTCCATCCACCTCACCCCCATTCCTCGTGCCCCCTTCTGCTCCTTACCAATTTACACATACCTCAGCTTCTTAGATGATATCGACCGGATCGCGACACACACCTACGAGCCTTCAGATGACGACGTCGTTCGTGCCCGCCTTCGAACACTCGGCGTGCAGGAGTACAACATCCAATTCGAGCAGAGTAAAGGGCCAACGCTGTTTGCAGGTGCATCCCGTTTATTTCCTGTTACGTACTACTAACATGACTACGTCATGCAGGCAGTTTGGGTGATTTCGGAAAGGAATTGATCATCTACGACGTAGGCGGATCACGGACGATGGTACGTCTATTCCATCTGCCCAACAGTTTTTATGTCTGATGCTATGATGTATGACTAGCGACAAGCATGGCTTCCCTTTTTTGACAACGTCGACGCCATCATCTTCCTCGCGCGTAAGCTCCTCGACCCTCATCTCATTCCAAACCAATCTCATTCACTTTGAATAGCTATATCGTGTTTCGACGAATGCCTCCAAGAAGACTCCAAGATTAACCGTCTCAAAGACTCCTTGCTCCTCTGGCGCTCCGTCTGTTCCTCTAAACTCCTGGTCAAAGCAACCCTCATCCTCTTCCTCAACAAATGCGATATTCTCAAGCGTAAATTGAAGTCCGGCGTTATGGTGAAGAAGTTCCTCCCGAACTATGGGGAAAGGCCGAATGAGGCAAGGAGTGTTATCAAATGTTAGTGGTGCTCGCCCTTCGCCTTCTTTGGGGGACTTGGGCTGATCCGTTGTTTAGACCTTGAACAAAAGTTCAAGGATATACTGAAGGAGCAGTCCCTGGTTCCCAGGATGTGTTACTGTTATGCGACATCCGTGACTGTATGTCTCTCTTGTTTCATTTCTTCATCACCATCAGTCACCAACATGAACATGTCGTCCTTGTAGGACACCGAAGCTACTGCGAATACACTCAAGACAGGTTGGTTTCCCATTCTCGGTGTGAATGCATTCTCTGATGGATCTTGGTTGCGACAGTGAGAGATTCCATCGTACAGGAACACCTTAAGACCGCAGACATGATGTGACCAGCAGTGCTGCTTGTCATTGATGGACGGGCCCTCCCAGCCCCATCGTTCCCCTGACCACCGTCGCCACCACAGCGCAATAAAATTCTGCTCATCGTTGCTATCTACTATCTATCACCTATCATATCGCACTATACATATATACTTGCCCTTTCACTCCCCATGTTATCGTCGTTGTCATCATCTGTTACACTGCTGAACATGGATTCGTTTATGCACATAGACTTTATGCAGCTTTACGCAGTATAACACCTATCGCTATCCATGCATCCATTTAGTGTTTGGAAGTCCGGTCTCGTGACTGGAAAAAGACCGTAACCAGACCGGACCAAGACCGCAAAAGACCGGACCTGCGGTTACGGTCTTTTATTTTTGAAATGTAAAGACCGCAAAAAAACCGGTTAACGTGAACCGGTCTTTTGTAGCCCCTCAAATACCCTTTAAAACGCACCCAAGAACGTACGATTTGGTAAAAAAACGAGAGAGATATGAATTAAAATGTAAATTACTTTTGGGAATAATAGATGTACCAGACTTATTTTATAGAAGCACCAATTCCTAACGGAATTTAACGTTCTTGGGCTCGTTTTGAAGCTATTAAAGATGTTAATAAATTTACCGATTCATAATTTTAAAATATTGGCCTAAAGACCGGTCATAAACCGATTAAAACCGATGCAGACCGAAACCGGTCTATAGACCGCAAAAAACCGCGGTCTGCGGTCTTTTTGCGGTCCGGTCTGGTCTTTTGACTTCTGGGGAAAAGGCAGGCTCCTAAAAGCAGCCGCTCGTCTCGCGATGCTATCGTACTCAGGAGGAGAACTAAATATGTGATGGTTATATAATCTGATGGGGAAGACCAAATAAACAAACCTAAGAACGAAAGCTCGCGAGAGAGCGGCTGCCGGAAAATGTACTCGGTGAGCTCGGACATCATTGATTAACCCTATTGTTGGGTCCCAAATCCAAGCTATGTAATCAAAGAACCAGACACGTCACATTTCGGTCACGAACACTGTCGATGGTTGGCAGTAGGTGCGTAAGTTGTGCGTAAGGTCTACATCGAGGTTGTCGGAGGCATACAATGTGAGGAGGATTCTCCCAAGCTTGCGAATGTTGAAGCTGGACTACTGAGAAAGGTAGGAGACGGCGTTACTGATAGTTGACGGTGATATTAATACCCCCAGGTGTGCGAGGAGCTCTAGAACCGCGTCTGGTGTGTTACACGCATGAAGGAAAAATCTTGGAGTCCTCTTCGGAAGGCATTCGAGATACATTTCACTTTGTTGAGGTGTGGTAGATTAGCCATAGGGTATTAGGTCTCTTTTTGTAACAACTTTATTGGCTATACATATATAATTTTGAACTTGACATGACATCAGTACACATTGACAAGTATGTAATTCTGCATTCCGTAGCCTCTCCTCCACTGCCAGATGTTCTTGAGAACCTTTGAGCCAAACCGGCCCATTGGAGGATCTGTCACGAAGGCCCAGAAAGGCCTTCGGTTTGGGACCCAACAATAGGGTTAATCAATGATGTCCGAGCTCACCGAGTACATTTTCCGGCAGCCGCTCTCTCGCGAGCTTTCGTTCTTAGGTTTGTTTATTTGGTCTTCCCCATCAGATTATATAACCATCACATATTTAGTTCTCCTCCTGAGTACGATAGCATCGCGAGACGAGCGGCTGCTTTTAGGAGCCTGGGGAAAAGGCAGACCGGTTACGGTTACGGTTAACGCCCCTGGGCATCAAAAAACCGGACCGAACCGGACTTTCAAACACTAGCTCCAATCGGCTCAGAATTTTGTTCGGGTTCAAAATTCGCGTTGGTCCCAAGGAATGTCAATCCACTGTATCGGTGCACCTTGTCCTTCGATATTCACCCTACATGAAAATTGACCGATCAAAGTTTGGCCTCCAGGCTAGAAAGGACTCCGAATTTGTGCAAGGCAGCGACCATTCCAAAAATTCAAAATAACAACTCATTTCCGTGTGAGGGACCTGAATATTACAGTTGCAACCTGCCGCTCAACAGCACTCCAAGAGTAATAAGGAGCTCAAGACCTTGCTCGTTTTGTGCTCTTTCTACTGCGACCTGATAACCGAAAGTACTGTCCACCCACTTTTCTGGGGCCTTGCAAAACCCGGAGCTCCGGCTCTCCAATGCTGTAGATCCAATGTGGATTTCGAGAGGAAGGCGCAGAAGGTGAGGTCAAGGTGAGGTTTTATGTAAGTATATAATTTCTTATGCATCATGGTACCGATGTATCACAATCGTTGAGTTGCTCAAAATTGTAAATTTTGTATGAAAGTCCACACCAAACGCAGTGAAATCCTATTCGAAATATATTAGCAGCGGCTGCCAGACAGACGCTGGGACTTACAAGCCATGAGTGCATTTACGAGAGGTTGCGTGAGCGCATCAGTGGCAGAAATAATTTGCTCCAGTCGAGTAAATGAATTGTTATCGCAAAGCAGATTGAGTTCTGTTAAGGGGCGCGGCAAACCATCCCTCTCTCGGTTGAGGATCACTTGTGTCAGCCAGTCCCCACTTGGTGATTCCTTCTTATGAGCGCAGACTGTGAGTTCGTCTTCTGTAAATGGACCAAAAATGACAGGAACCCAGTATGGCCCAATAAGTAATATCCACTGCACTGTACCACCCAACAGTGGATATTGACCTTTGATGGCTGCCTTCGCTTGATCCTGGGCTTGGAAGTAGAGCGTGTGAAAAGCGACTCTCACTTCATTGTTATTGATGATTGAACTGGGCGGAGGTAGTCCCTTCATCTCCTCAATTGCTCGCTTTGCTTCCACTCCAAAGCGCAACTTGAATGGCGGCATGACACCGACTGCGGTAAAATTGCCAACACTGAGGTCTGGGGTTTCTAAGCGGCGGTCCTCTTTCACATCTGGTTTCCACTTCAACGATAATTGGGAGTAGATCACAAACCGCTCGAAGGGCGTTTTATGCCGACCCAGGAATTCCACAAAAACAGCATAGGTTACGTCTTCTTTCGGGTTGTTGTCCACTGCTTTTCGACTGATATTCCTCATGTATTTGGCATTCAACATTTGCAAAGATCAAAATGTTATGTCAATATTACGATGCCAGTGGGTGTCCCACCTTTCTCGAACTCTTGGCAATTGTCTTTCGATCGTGATATCGACCATGGGGGCGAAGATCAAACGTTCAGCGCTCGGCCTTATCACTTCATATGGCCCGGTTGAATTCAGGTCGGTCCGGTTCTCGCAGTCCTTTTTAGAACTAAACTGGCGGTTCTATTCCAAGCAATTTTGGGAATCGGAAGACTAATGGAAGTCATGGTGTGGATAACGGCGATCGATTCCGGCGGCAATTTCCGTGAGGACACGTTCAAATCCCTGTACTTAAAGAAAGGCCCAAATAAATCCAAGTAAAATTATTTCCATCAACATGTTGCCACCTCTCATAAGTACGAACACCATTAAGGTAGGCGGGTACTATATGGCAGGATTTGAATTCGTGATTGAAATTGAATTCTCATTGGTGGAATGCGTGCATCGGAAATCAAAATTCTGCCATATAGTTCGGAACGGTTCCCGCCAACTCTATGCCATGGACTCGGACATCATCAAGGTTTACGGGTTCCCCATGAATGAGGTCTGGATGGTTCAAGCCTAGGGCGACTGGGATTCTCCAACCCAGAAGACGATATCTACAGGAGAAGCTTGGACGTTGGGCCTGTCTTTGGTTCGATCAAGCGACGCAGTGGCATCCAAGAGCTCCACATGAACTGCGTTTGGGTCGGTGACCGTGACGGACTCAGCATACTTTTCTGGCACCTTCCATTCGAGAGGTGGAAGCCACCCCGCACCCCGACATCGGAGCGTCGTCTGGAAGAGTTCCTTCAGCTGGCAAACCTGCCTTCAATGAAACCCGCCATGTATGCTTCAATAGACGGAGACTTGCCGAAGGTTCTGCGAGGGTTGTAACAAGCGCCACCTTGAATAGAAAAGATGAGATTACTTAGAGAACTCTCCACTGTATCGGCTGCCCAATGTACATTCCTTCTGCTCATGCTTCTGCTGGCCCTGACTCACAAAGTCAAAATAGTATCATGTTTTTACAAAGCTAGAAAGACACCCCGGGCCTGCTATTACTGCAGACATCCAAAAGTGGTTTTCTGGACCCACAAAGTAGTGCCCTAGCTCGCTACTAGTACTGCAGACACCCATGCCAAGGTGTCTTTCGAGACTTCAGTGCATGCCATCTTCCCATTTATACCCGCTCACAGCCAGTGTTCATGTGTAATCGACACGCCTCTCCATGCAGAGGTCCCATGTAGGCTCAATCTTTCTTTTGTAAGTTTTGTATACTACTATCACGTGCAAGTCACCTAGTTTTGCAAATCGGTCTCTAACTTTACAACAAATATGATCTACACTCTGAAAATATTTGAGGGGGTGTATGTTTATGTGTCAAGTGCGACTATATTTTTTTATCTGAAGAAATCGGATTGCAACATGCCACAGGCTGCAATATATACCAAAATCCCGCACTTCCCCACCATGTTGCCTGCATGAAATATTCTAATTCCAACAGGGAGCTCTCATTCTTTTTGAGGATTAAGCTAAAGATACATAGTAGACATTCCATAACTTTTTGAGAGCATCTGTGCTGTCCTTAGATGAACAAGGCATCCTGACAATCGAGCGTGACAAGTTGAAGCAAGCACTTCAAACTCCGACGTGTGTTCGACAAGAATTCGCGTCGCATCTGGTTTACATTCAATCTCCGAATGATGCAAAGAGGCGCACGATAGTGTTGCCGCGAGGTGAACCGAAGCGAATCGAAGTGAGGAAATGTGTGCACTTCGTTCCACTTCGGACTTTCGAAGTGAACCGAAGCGGATTCGGTGATCCCCGTAGATAGACCAGCCAATAAAAACGCTCGCATTTCTAGTCCTCATTGTAGTACAGTAGAATATGTAGTAGTTACTCAATATCATCAGTATCAATGTCTTTCGAGTTTTGAATTAAGTCGCGAAGTTCTTCCATTCTCCCCGCCTTATAGAGTTCGTCGAAAGCTGCCTCCGTGATTTGTCCTGAAATAGTGTAGTCTTCTTCACGCGCAATGAGATCGTTAACAAAATTGAGACGGTTCTTCTTGTACGAGAACTTCAGCACTTGCAGAGCCTCGAGAAGTTCTGGGCAGATCCTGTTGCGTCGAAGAGAGCAAGTTTCTTTGCTTGAAGAAAACACTCGCTCGCACGGCACTGCAGATGCTTGTGCAGGGAGAACGTCCATGGCCACGCGATAAATCAGCGGGTAGGTGTTCTGCTTGATCTGTTTTAAAATAGTTTAGTTAGATTTGTATCTAAATGAACGAGGGCGACATGAGAGGCTCACATTCCAGAAAGAAACCATGTCTGTCATCTTCCCTTCAAAATCCTCGAGTCCATCTTCCTCGTACCGTTGAAGCTCACGCAATACTATCCTCAAATCTTCAGCATCCTCACGATCCTCTTGAGCTTGCTTCTCAGCGGCGGTCGGTTCACGTGGAGTTGTGGGAGTAGCCGGCTCCAGAGTAGTGGCTGATAGTAACGGCACGGTGAAGGAGCGGCGCACACCAACATCGATAGAACGAAGTCGTCGAACGCCGTGATTCAACGCGTTGGATGCTGTTGTGCAAGCTGACATTGAGCGCTTGACGGGCGTGGGTGTGGTTGATGTCGATGCCAATTTTGACATTGCGCGGCGGTGTTTTTGATATTTAAGCATCTGCGGAATTCATTAGCTTACTTGTAGATAAGAGAAATAGATGAGACTAACCGAGTCAATCATCCACTGTCGAGCATTTTGATAATCTTCTTCCAATTGGTTTTTCTTGATCCAATCGTACTTCATCATCGGATTTACGGCTGTGTCGGACAATCAGATATAAATTTAAAAACGAAAAAAGCGCGCACCCATTGCGTGAGCGTATATGCGTGTTTTGCGTGCTTTTCCAATGTATTCTTCGAGTTTTGATATCCCCACGTTGATGTAGTGCTCCAGCTCGGGAAGCGTCACTCGGAGATCCTTCCACTTCTTGAGAAGGTCCTCATATACTGGAAGTGCCATGGAAAGCGATGGTGTAAGCTCCCCGGAGAGGAGTTCTTGGGCAGTATGAGGTATTTCGAGTATTTGGTGGATGTGGCCGAGGACGTTGATCTCGTTGTTGGGTAATAAATGTTTTAATAATTCGGTTTGTGCGAGGTTGAGCAGAAAAGACTGAATTGCCTAAAAGTCCACAAATAAAATCCTAAATATCATATTGAGAGAAGAATAACTTACTGGATACAAAGCGAGGCCTCGGTCAACCATCAAAAAGGTAGAAGACCAGCGAGTCTCGCAGTCACGCAAAAGATTTACCAGTGGCAGTTTTTCCCCCCCACCAGGAAGCTTGCCTTTCCAATAGCCCGACAGGTTACCATCTATGATTGTTTGCTTCAGTTGTCGACGGCGCTGACCTGAAGCTCGACACGCTGCGACCAGACCCCGTTTTTTGCCGATAGGATTCGCGAGAATGGCTTCTTTATAAGCCGGCCAGCCTGGAGACGATGTTGCAGCTGGAGGCGCGTTGAGGTTGGGACCGATATCTTCCTCAGATTTTTTCAATTCTTCAATTATAGCTTGGCAAGCGATGTTGATAACGTGTGGAAAGCATCTGCATGTTTGATTTGAAACGAGTGATTTAGGAAATAGATAAAACTGACCGAATTCGATGCCCATCTCTGTCAAAGGGTATTTTCCGTTCGAGCATGATGGCTTCCAGAGCCTCCATCATGGTGTTGTTATTCGAAGCGTTGTCCATTGTTATAAGACCGATCTGATAAAGTTGTTAAGTGTGAGAATAATTGAAAAGATTAAGGTGAAGAATGAACCTTGTGTGCAACCCCAAGGCTATCAACGAGCTTAAAAAAATGCATTGCGAGATTGACACCACTGTGGGCACCTTCAATGTACTTGAAAGCGATTAAGCCACAGCGGTATTCAAGCTGACCGTCAGTGCGACGTCGAGCCATATAGTGCGCCGTGACAGCCATATAGGAATCGAGGTTGGGGTCACTCCATAAATCCGTCGTGAAAGAGATTCGCCCTTCCGCATTCTGCATGTCTTCTGCCAGACTCTTTCGCTCCTTCTTGAACTCTTCCAGTATCATCTTTGTCATCTTCGTGCGGTGTGGTAAATCCTTGTCTTCGAGTTTCCCATCACCAAGAAATAACATTAGCTCTCGGAATTCCGGAGACTCCAGAACATTAATAGACTATTGAAAGACATCCATTAGAATATGCAAGGACCAGAAAAAAATCCACGGAGCACCTGATCATCCGCAACAATCCATTTACATAGTAGAAGCTCAAACTTCTCCTTTGTGTACGGCCCTCGCTCCGAGTTTTCTGGTTGAGAATTACTGACATCTTTTGCGTGTTTGAGATTTTTGATGCGTATCGTCGACTCGTATATTTCGGCATGTTTTTTCTTCATGTGAGTTCGGTAGCATGAGCTCATGCCATCGCCATGTATCCATGTCTTCCAGTGGTCACTGTTTCCGATTGTTATAAAAAAGACTAATCAAAGATTGGGCCACTTACGTGCAAAGTTTACATCCTACAAACTTCGTTGATGGCTTGCACAGCATGATCGGCTCATTTGTGGGCCAGATCTCCGGTTCTTCTCTCGTGTCGAGTGGGCGCAGAAAAAACCAAGCATCCGTTGCCGCATTTGAAATATCATCGCGTTTTGACCGATTGGATTGGTTCCCTAATCAAACAATTCAAAACACAGTCCCGTGCCAGGTGAATCATAATATAGACGTACCAGGTGTCTGAGGCACAGGAATTGGTTCATGGGGAAGCACTGAAGGTGAATCCGAAGGCGGGGGCATTGAAATAGGAGATGGGCCAATGCCGCAGTGAGGTGAGGTGGTGGATCCGGATAAATCTGCAGTGACAGGCAGCTCTGGCGCTTTTTTGCGTTTTTTGCGTGCTCCCGCACCATCGGTTGTTGCGGCACGTTTCTTTTGATTGGCGGAAGGAGCAGGTTGTGGTGTATTGAGGATGGTTGATTGAGCGTCTTGCAATGGTCGAGGCAATGTCGGAGTGTATCCCATCGATTGGTTAATGTGGAAATAGCTAGGCTGAACTTG